TGAGGAAATCCTACGGTTACACTGTAACCGCGCCAACGTTCCACTAGCTATGGAACGGGATCGGGATTGAGTGATTCTCCCGGCAGAGACTGGCAATACATTTACCCGTGACTCGGGATTGAGCGATTCTCCCGACGGGGTTATGCGAAGGAACTCAGAAAGACCTGAGCTCGGGTCCAATGAGTTTCTCCGTGGCGGACGGCCGGCGAGAGGTTGTCAGTTGTGTACTGACTTCGCTCGACATAGTCGGTGGTGGCCTGGTGGGGGCACCTGGCGCTCTGGCATCGAGAGGTGACATCGATGTCAGAGGGGATGGTTGATGTATTATGTTTTATGGAGTAGGGATTTGGATGGCGTGTTTTATTGTTCCGGCGATTGCCGAGGAGAGCGGGGGATGTGCGTTGCACATGGAGCGTCCTTACCCACGTGTGTGATGCACACGTGGAGATGATTTGACGGTACGGTTATTACTGAGAGACCCGATGGGTCGAGTTATGACTTGTGTACATATGTCCTGGACTGGTGAGACCAGATCCTTGCGGTATCCTATGTGTGCGATGCACATAGAGATGATTTGACGGTTATGTCCGATGATACATCATGCGGACTGAGTGTGTGTGAAAAGTGAATTAATTGTGCGATTGAGTGAACGATGTTTGATGGCATGGAGTGTGTATATATATGTGTACACCTATATGTACCGTGTGCATACTATTGATTGTGTTTGGCCATTTGCAATTTGAGTATGATCTTCGGGTCTAACCCGAAGTACTCACTAAGCACGTAGCTTATGGACGTTGTTATGCAACGTTTCAGGCACGGAGCAGTATTGGCAGCAGCAGGACGAGGGTACTGGTGACGTGTGAGGAGCTATCTGGATCATGTACTTTTCTTTCTTTGGACTTATGTTGGCTTGTACGGGCGGTGACCTGACTTTGTATTTTATTACAGTTACCGTCCTTATGTTGGTGTGTATACTACTGTACGTGGGTTTGTAAACATATACTGGTTTTTGCGCTGCGTGTGTAATAAAATAAAATGTTTTTAAATTCCCGCTATTTTATTATATATTTGGGCGTCCATGTGGCACAACTCGTGAGCGGGAGACGGGTTACGGGTGTCACACGGGTTAAGGGTCGAGGCAAATCGCAGTCGCAGTATGAGTCCGGGATGGAGAATACGTTTTAAAATTTTTCGTTAAATTTTCAACGGATTTCGGTTGAAAATTCCGTTGAAAATATCAACGGATTTCAGTTGAAAATTCCGTTGAAAATATCAACGGATTTCGTTTGAAAATTCCGTTGAAAATATCAACGGATAATTCCGTTGAAATTTCGTTGATATTTTTAACGGTTTTCAACGAATAATTTTTTTCAACGACGATATTGCAACGGAAATTATCCGTTGAAAATCCGTTGAAATTGTATAATTTCAACGGATTTTAGGCCATTTTCAACGGATTTTTCTGTTGAAAATGACATGTTTTTTGTAGTGATATTAAGGGTAAATCAGATAAACCTTCAGTTCAATATTACTGCTATGTTTTTGTTTTTTCTCGCGTAATAAACACGTTTTATTGGCGCACTCCAAAAATAATTAAATAAAAACGGTGAATTTGCTGTAAAATAAAATGTTATCCTAGTAATTACAAAAGCAGATAAGATGATGTCTGTTTGGATTTGTTTGATTGCATTAATTAATTTTGTTATGAGACAAACAATATAGTGATTTTAATCTTTCCACAATTCCATTTACTATCTCATATTCTCCCCTTATCATTTAAGTTATAAGAAATAGCCAAAAAAACTTTGTATTTTTATTTTTTGTAATTTAAACTCTATATTTTATTTTGTCTTAGAACAATTAATACAATTAGATACTTTAAAAAAAAAGCATGTACTTTATATATATTGTGACCATTTAAACTTTATATTTTTATTTTGTCACAATTTAGACCCTTAACTTTTTTTGTACTAGAAAAATCTATACGATTCTCTTCGAAACATACTTTGCATATTGTGACTATTAAAACCCTATACTGTTATTTTGTCATAATTTAAAAATTGTATTTTTTATCCTAGAAAATATCCACAATTCTTTTCGAAAAATTCATTTACTTTGTATATTGTGGTCAAAATAACATTTGTCATAAAATAATTCTATAGGTATTAAAAATGATTTAAGTTATCGACACGTGAGATAATTATTCATTCTAGGATTCGGATAAATGATTTTATTAAAAAAAATTTGAAACTCTATAATATAAGCCTTATCCATCCAATTAAGTTAAACTAAAAATTGAATAACTTACACTTGAATGCATAATTTGATACCAAAATATCAACTCCCTCGGGTTAAAATCGATCGATAGAAATCATAAATCTTCAGATTGTCTCGCTATGATATTTGAGTGTGGTTCTAACAAAAAATAAGTTGTATTTAACATTTTTTTTCAAGTGAATAGAACTGATTGTTTTTAGTTTTGGAAGTGCAAACTTTTTCATTTTTCTTCTATTATGTACCTTGATTTTTATGTTGGAAGTTTTTCAATAACTTCCCATATTAGAAAACTCCTACGTTGATCAGTGGTCCAATATTTACTCAATGTTAACTGCGTGATTAACTGTCAAATATCAGTTTTTTCTGATGGGGAAAAAACTATTAAAAGGGCATAAATCTGGATCCCTAGGCTAAGCAAACAGACAGAACAAATACACCATCGTTTGTGATTGCTATAGCTTAGAAGAATTCATATTTGAACTCAAGAATTTCAATGGCTGGAGGTATGTTTTTCTGATTCAGAATTTTATTTCCGCATTCATGATCTTGTATGTTAAAGTGATGAATATTGAAGATCATGACTTAGATGAGTTTAAAGAATTTTAAACTTACATTTGGTATCAGAGCAGGTTTTATCCTCTGCCTTGAAAATTTGTTGTTCATGAATTTTCGGTATTTTTATAGTTAATTTTCATGAAATCTGACATGATTGGAATAATTTTTTCTTTAACTAAAATTAATACAGAAAACAATTGTTAGAATCATTAAGAAACTATCAAGAATAGAGATACCTTAATTGTTGAAATCATGGCTCTCGTTCCTTTGACTCTGTTGTCTGCCATTTCTTTGTTCTCTGCAATGTCTTTGTTCTCGGTTTCGATCTCCGTGATGACATTTATGGAGACGATTCGGTGATGGTTGTCGGTTATAAACTATCACCGGAATCGCCATTGTCGTCGGAGGTGGGAGAACAAAATTAAAAAAAATGGCAGAGGAGAATGACGGACATAAGAAAGGAAGAAGCTTCAGAGAACATGAAATGAAAGTTTTAGGGTTTGCTTCGGTACATGCCATACATATAATATTAAAATAATAAATAAATAATATTACATAGACATACTCAGATGGGTTCGAACCCTAAAACATTTGCATGTGCATTCGAACCCAAAACCTTGATTATGTATGGGAAGGCACAGCCACGGGACCAAACCTATTTCTCGATGTTATATTGTCTTTATTTAATATATGTCTTGTGATCCGTATAATTTATTCAACCCAGAGGATTGCCACAACATATTTGATGAGAATAAAATTATACATAAATTTGTTATTGGATCATATTTAGTTAAAGACATTGACTGTAATTAATCACATTGATATAATAAAATTTATCCTACATGAAATTTTATTATATTTATGTAATTAATTAGGGTGAAAAGTCGATTATGTTTCTTGATTTACCCATAGGGATTGAGAAATGAATATAATCTGATGGTTTCATCATTAAGCTAAATGAATCTATTTGAATTAGAAACTTAGCCCACATACAGTTTTTATGTCATATGATTCATATTGTTAATGGTTTTACATTGGTAAAACATCACATAAAGTTGCCTTAATTTTATTAACATAAGCATGTATATATTGATCTGTTTTGAGCAGTTTTTCAACCTATGAATGTCTCCGACATGAAATGCGATATTTCCGAGCTCAAAGGGGATAACTATAAGGTGTGGAAAGAAAGAATCCTACTTCATTTGGGGTGGATGGACATTGACTATGCTATTCAGAAAGACGAACCGCCTCCGATTACTGAGGAGAGTGAGCTTGAGGAGATTGAACTTTATGAAAGGTGGGAGCGATCTAATCGCCTCAGCGTTATGTTCATAAAGACAAACATCTCATCTGGCATTCGGGGCTTGATCGAGCAGTATGACAATGTCCGTATGCTACTGAAGGCTATTGATGAACAATTTGAGTCTTCAGATAAGGCATTGCGAGCACCCTGATTATGAAGTTTTCCACTTTGAGGCTCACCAGTACCAAAGGAGTGCGTGAACACATCATGCAAATGAGGGATTTAGCGGCTCAACTCAAAACACTTGAGGTTACCATGTCTGACTCTTTCCTTGTGCATTACATTTTGAACTCTTTGCCGCAGCAATACGGACCCTTCAAGATCTCTTACAACACACATAAGGATAAATGGTCGATCAACGAACTGTTGAACATGTGTGTTCAAGAGGAAGGAAGGTTGCTTATGGAAGGTGGAGAGAGTGTGCATTTGGCAACTCAAGGAAAAGTGAAATACCAAGCCAAAAAGAAATGGAAGGAAAAATTGACTTCTCAAGGAAACATCAAGAAGGAATCCAAGTGTTTCTTCTGTAAGAAGAAGGGACACATGAAGAAGGATTGCCAGAGATTCCAAGAGTGGTTTGTTAAGAAAGGTAACTCACTTACACTCGTTTGTTATGAATCTAATATGATCGATGTTGGTCACAACACATGGTGGATTGATTCTGGTCCTACAATCCATGTTACGAATTCTCTACAGGGTTTGCAAAACCTAAGGAAGCCAGTGGGAAGTGAGCAATGCATCTATTCGGGAAACAAGATGCGCTCACATGTGGAGGCTGTTGGAACATGTTATCTAGTTTTAAGTAATGGTTATATACTTATGTTGGAAAAGACCTTTTTATGTTCCTGGTTTTTCTAGGAATTTAATTTCCGTTTCAAGACTTGTACCTTTTGGTTATTCCTTCAACTTTTCAGACTATGGTTTCGATCTTATCTATAAATATGATATTGTTGGGAATGGTACATTGTCTGATGGTCTTTTTCGACTTAATGTGCAAAATGATAACGGTTATGCTACGATGCATGTTCATGTTGGTATTAAAAGATGTGTTGTGAATGAAGAATCCTCTATGTTATGGCATCGGAGATTGTGACACATCTCCATTGAGAGGGTTAAGAGATTGGTAAAAGATGGGGTACTTAGTACTCTAGATTTTTCTGATTTCGAAACTTGTGTGGACTGCATAAAGAGAAAGCAGACTAATACATCAAAGAAAGGTGCAAAGAGGAGTTCAGATCTATTAGAGATCATACATTCAGATATATGTTGTCCAGACATGGATGCATATCGACAGAAATATTTCATCACTTTCATAGATGATTACTCGCGATACATGTATCTCTACATTCTTGATAACAAGAGTGAAGCACTAGATGCTTTTAAACTCTTTAAGGCCGAAGTAGAGAAACAATGCAGTAAGCAAATAAAGATCGTGAGATCAGATAGGGGTGGTGAATATTACGGTAGATACACTGAAAATGAACAAGCACCCGGTCCTTTTGCGAAGTTTCTTGCTGAACATGGGATTGTTGCCCAATATACCACACCTGGTTCTCCGAGCCAGAATGGTGTAGCGGAAAGGAAAAACCGAACATTATTGGACATGGTGCGGAGTATGTTATCATACTCAAAACTTCCTAAGTCCTTGTGGAATGAAGCTCTTAAAACGGCGGTGTACATATTAAACCGAGTTCCAACTAAGGCTGTCTCAAAGACACCTTTCGAGTTGTTTAAAGGTTGGAAACCGAGTTTGCGACATGTACGCGATTGGGGATGTCCGTCTGAAGTAAGAGTTTATAACCCACAAGAGAAGAAGTTAGACCCAATGACCATTAGTGAGTATTTCATTGGATATGCTGAAAGGTCTAAGGAATACAGATTTTATTGTCTATCTCAGAGTACACGGATTGTGGAGCCAAGAAATGCAAAATTTCTTGAGAATGACTTGATTAGGGGGAGTGACAGATCATTAGGAGAAAGATCTGAGAGCGATCACTCTATTTCACAACCTTCTACTTCAAGTCACCTTCGAACTGTTGTCGTTCGTCGCACTTATCCAGTTTCAGTGCGTGTTGAACAACCAGTTCCTGAAACTCCACAAGCTGATGATCCAGTAGATCATGTTCAACAAATGCCTGAAATTGTTGAACCGGTTGTACAACATGATCCTCAGGAAAATGTTGATACAACGTTGAGACGATCTAGTAGAGTACGGAAATCAGCAATTTCAGATGACTATATGGTGTATCTACAAGAGTGTGAGTATAATGTTGGAGCCGAAAATGATCCTGAAACGTTTTCACAAGCCATGAGTTGTAAGGAATCTGACTTATGGTATAGTGCCATGAAAGATGAGATGGATTCGATGGAATCGAATAGAGTCTGTGATCTTGTCGAGTTGCCTAATGGTGTAAAAGCCATTGGTTGTAAATGGGTCTTCAAAACCAAGAAAGACGCATTGGGCAACATCGAAACATATAAAGCAAGACTCGTAGCCAAAGGATCCACTCAGAAAGAAGGAATCGATTACAAGGAGACTTTTTCTCATGTATCAAAGAAAGATTCTTTTCGTGTGATCATGGCATTAGTTGCCCATTTTGATATGGATTTACATCAAATGGATGTGAAAACGACATTCCTCAATGGTGAACTAGAGGAAGAGGTTTACATGAGACAACCTGAAGGATTCTCCTCTAGTAGTGGTGAGCATTTGTTTTGCAAACTTAAGAGATCCATATATGGATTGAAACAAGCTTCCCGTCTGTGGTATTTGAAATTTCATGGTGTTATTTCTTCATTTGGCTTCGAAGAAAATACCATGGATAACTGCATATACCAGAAGGTCAGTGGGAGTAAGATTTGTTTCCTTATTCTATATGTGAATGACATTTTACTTGCAACCAATGACAAAGGGTTGTTGTATGAGGCGAAACAATTTCTCTCTAAGAATTTTGACATGAAGGATATGGGTGAGACATCTTATGTCATCGACATTAAGATCCATAGAGATAGATCTAGATGTATTCTAGGTTTTTCTCAGGAGACCTATATCAATAAAGTCTTGGAGAGGTTTCGGATGAACGATTGTTCACCGAGTCCATCACCTATTGTGAAGGGTGATAGGTTCAATTTGAATCAATGCCCGAAAAATGAACTCGAACGGAAACAAATGAAGAACATTCCATATGCTTCTGCCGTTGGAAGCCTTATGTATGCTCAGGTTTGCACAAGACCTGACATTGCATTTGTCGTGGGAATGTTAGGGAGATATCAAAGTAATCCAGGTTTGGACCACTGGAAAGCTGCAAAGAAGGTGATGAGGTACCTACAAGGTACAAAGGATCACATGCTTATGTATAGACGAACGGACGATTTAGAGGTCACCGGTTACTCAGATTCAGACTTTGTTGGCTGTGTTGACTCGCGTAAGTCAACATCTGGATATGTATTTATGCCTGCCGGTGGAGCTATATCATGGAGGAGTGGCAAGCAGACATTGACCGCTATTTCCACTATGGAAGTCGAGTTCGTTTCATGTTTCGAGGCAACGTCGCATGGTGTATGGTTGAAGAATTTCATATCCGGGCTTAGAATTGTGGATTCTATTGCTAGGCCATTGAGATTATATTGTGATAATTCAGCTGCTAACTTCATGGCTAAGAACAATAAGAGTGGAAGTCGAAGTAAACACATCGACATCAAGTACTTAGCCGTAAGAGAACGTGTTGCGGAAAAGAAAGTGGTCATTGAACACATTAGCACTGAATTGATGATTGCCGATCCTCTGACTAAGGGCATACCAATTAAGAATTTCAGGGATCATGTTATGAGTATGGGACTTGGTTCCATGATGTGATTATTTCATTTGTACGTACATTTATGTATTCACGAAATCTTCGACGATGCAAGATCAAAAAACAGGCAAAGAAGATTATGCGGACATTGGATTGGGATTCAGACCCAACAATGATTTGGATGAGTAAAAAGCATATCAAATTTTTTAGGCTTTGAATGGAGATGGCTTTTATTTTGGGTTTTTGGTTTTAGTTTTTGGATTTTGGTTTTTGGTTTTTGGTTTTTGGCTTTTGGATTTTATAATATTTGAAAACTCAAAAAAAGTAGCTTTTGGTTTTTTATTGATTTTTTCACTAAAATGGCTTTCCAAGTTTTTAGGAAAAATAATTTTGTAAAAACTTGAATGTTGTTTTTTTTTGTTTTTGGATTCTAAAAACTCCAAAAACTCCTATCATTCAAGGCCTTAATTAAAATGCCTTAATTAAAATGTAATTTATATTTTACATTTTTATTATCAAGATATCTAGAATATTGCAAAATAACACATGAATTTTTAAAATTTGGTAAATAAATATATATGAACTTCTAATTTTGTATAAAAATAAATAAAATTTGATATTTTTTTACGTAAACTCACAAAAATACTAAATTTAATTTATTTTTTAAAGTTATATTTGAAATTTTTCAAAATTTGTGTATATCTATACAAATTTGTATGGTATTACAGGAAAAATTTTAGAATTTATGTATTTTTATATCAAATTAAAATTTTATATATTTATTTATCAAATTTAAAAATTTATGTTTTTTTTTGTTATACTCCCTATTTTAAATACGCGTGGAATATCCAAAATCTGTAAATTGAAATCTGATATTCCAAATTATTGGTATTGGACCGTACGGAAGATGAAACTGTCTGGGCTTTTGTGACCCAATATGTTTCGGAGCCGATGTAGCCCATGTAGCCTAAATCCTTCCATGACTTATTCTTCAAGCTCCTGGACGACTTTACTCTTGATTTCCACGAGGGGCCCAGCGACATCTCTCCTGCGTAGGA